GCTCCCTGCAGCCGGAGGGCGGCGAGGGGCTGGCGCGCCGGACCGGTTATTTGGGGAAGTGCATCGCGACACCTTTGCAGGAGGCATGGCCGTGTTTTCCAACGCAAGTGGGAGGAGGGAAGACGGAGGGGGAAAGCAGAAGGGGTTAACCAGGTTGGGATGGGAATAGAGCAACTCGAAAGCAGAGACCCAGAAAGATGGGTGCGTGTTATCGTGGGATTAAGCTCCCACTGGGTCTCCCCGCCTCCCGTCCTCACGCCCCCCCACACCCCCACCTCCTTCTCCCCGCTGAAGCCCTTCCCCTTCTCCAGCGAACGCCACCATCGCCACCCGGGTGTGCGCGGGTCCTGTTTGTGACAGTAAGGCAGAAGAGGATTATCCGGATCATGGCCTCCCGGCCCGAAGCCACAGTCTCTCTCCCTGGCCCCAGAGCGCCCCTAGCACCCGGACAGTTGCGGGCGACCTACGCCCTCGATTCCCGCGGCTCAAGCTGCAGGAAGACTCAAAGCAAAAGAAGACAAACCCGGGGAGGGAGAGGGCAGGGTAAGTGAGCCCCGCGGGCACCTCTGACCTCCTTCGGTGCCTCCTCCCTCCTTCCCAGCTGTGCGGCCCGGGCCAGACACCCCGAACTTCAACGCCCGAGCCGGCGCCAGGTATCATGAGCAGGAACGCCCGCAGAGCCTCGGGCACAGCGCCCTGGCAGCCCTTCTCCCTAAAGGCCTGACTACCGGTCAGCATTCCCACCCCCGGGCGCCCGAGGGAACGCGCAAAGTGGAGGTGACACCTCCGACCCGGCACGCACCGGCCCCGCGGCGGTGGCAGCCGCTGCCTCGGCGCGCCGGCCCAGGCTTCTCCGGCCGCTCGCTCGGCTCTCTGCAGCCTTTTAAACTCGTCTCCGGGAAGCGAGTGGCAGCCGCGATCGTTGGCGCCTCGCCGCCAGTCCAGGCTCCTTGCCTTCCTCTCCCGCTGCACTTCCAACTCTTCCGGGGAGGACTGAGCGGCCGCATTTCCATTCTCCTCCCCAGTCTTCCAGCCCCCTCCCGCTTACCCCCCAGGCTTTGAAGGGAACGGGGAAGGGGTGTTGCCACCTTGCCAAGTGTGTGCATTGCAACCTTGAGTTGGCAGCGCATCGCTGCCTGCCTAGCCAGGGTCAAGGCTGTGGTTTGTTGGGATTCCCCCTCCTTGAAGTAGTAATTATTACTGTTATTATTAGAACAGCGAGGTTCGGTTGAAACTTTCCCGTTTCTTCCACCGTCGCCCGGGTTCTGTCGTTAGAGCATTCCACCTGAGGCCCGGGGGGAGGAGGCGGGCTTTTTTTTGTTGTTGTTGTGGCGGTTGGCCCGCCCGTTTGTTTTGATCTCGTCGCATGCACAATAAATAATAATTAGGATAATAATGAATAATCCCCGGCGCGGGCGGTGCGGTGCCGGAGGGGTTAGTGAGGCGGCAGCAGCCGGGAGGCCGCGGGGGGGGGGAAGAGGAGAAGGGAGGTG